ACAAAGCTCCCAGATTCTCCACCGCCAATCACCTTTTCTATCTCAACAGCCATAGGTGCTCCGTCGCGTGCTATTCCTTTTCATTAACGTCAGCCACCACTCATCCAGCATCGGAGGTGAAATTACGTTTTCAGTATACAATTAGGGTTCGATTATTGTATGTTTTGTTGTTTAGGGGGGCGGTGGCGACACCAGCGTTGCTCTTCACCCCGTGGTTGTTCTTCCATATTCAGGGGAAGCACAAGGGATTCACTTCGCGAATATGCAGACCCGTGTGATTTCCATTTCGGTCCACACCGTTATCTTCTTCCGCCTCGTCATTATTTTCTTCATCGCCATAAGAGTTCACATCTACGCTGGTTGATTCTTTTTTCGATCTTAATTTTGCCTTTTTTTTTTTTCAGTGTATCCATATGTATTCCCCCTTTGGCCACTTTATCTGGTAATGTGCACTTTTACTACTATCTTGTAGACTTGTAGTTCACTTGATATACTTTCCAGACCAATTTATATTAAATTAGTATTTGGATTGGATTCAAACATTATTGATGGAGTAAAAGTGAATCTATCATCTGTCTAGATAAACTTATATAATGAAGTTCATCTTGAGATTTAAAAAATACAGAGTGTCTGTTTTCATTTAGGGTTGAATCATTTTGTATGCTTCAAATGTTAGATAAAGCATGAAAAGTATACCATTTTTTGGTTTTGTAGTGTCTATTAAGAGTATATGTTTGTAAAAAATTTTCAATGAGATTTTCTAATTATGAATGTTGCTTCAAAAAAATTCTTTTGTCTGTATTGATCTAAAGAAATATGATCTTTGCATCACTTTATTCTGAACTTTTGCCTGTATTGATCAGAAGTTTTTTTGGTGCAATCATGTGAGTCCTATAACAAATGTTGTTCCTTTGAGTTTGGTGCTTCTTGTTTCTCTCAATTAAGGAGGCTTGTTAAGACTGGGTGTGTGCCAATGCCATTAGCTAAATTTTCCATAAATGTTTTTGTGAATGATTATTTGATGCATAAGTATTGCTCTCACAGATCATTAACTTGAGTTTACAATTTACATAATCTAGACTTTTTAACTGCTTTTACTCACTTGTGCTAAAAAACAATTGTACAGAAACGTTTTCAAAATGACATGTCAAGTAATAATACTCCTGTAGACGTCATTCAAGATAAGGAATGGACAAGTGTTTCTTGGAAGAAGCTTCATATTGGGGACATCATTAGAGTAAGAATACTGCTTGTGATTTCTCACTTATTCAATTTTTTTTTATTGCCTTATGTGCTTGTCTGTTACAATAGTCATATGCTGGAGCTCCATTTTCATTATTTTATAATGTAAAGCTCCACCCACTAGTATTGCTTATCAATAATTCAATCATGTCAATTCATTAGTTTATTTCCTCATTGCCTTGTCATAATGTCAAGCCGTTAACCAGATTGTTATATTGTATTTTTATTTTTGGTTTTAAATTTGCCTTCACGATAAAGTGAGCAATGACTAAGGACGGTCATCTATAAACCTGCAAATGTTGATGATTAGTTTTAATAGTCTAGTGGCTCTAGTCATGTTTTGAGGCTTTAGAGTTTGCAGCTTCATGGTTCACCACAGTGTGAGACTGAGTACTAATTCCATGTTGCTGTAGTATTAGGTTAAACAAGATGAGTTTCTTCAAGTTGACATATCGTTTCTAGCCAGCACATATCCTGATGGAATCTGCTACATTGATGTTGTACTTGGGTTGGCTCTCTGTTCTTTTCCTTTTCTGCATAATTACTCTTGTGATTTTGTTCTATATTTATTATGTACTGTTCCACTAAATGATGCACAAGCTCAAAGTGAGATATGATGGTCCTAATAGTTTTTGGAGAGGTGATTCTCTTGTTGCTAAAATACTTTTCTGTTTCAGGGTATTAATTTTACTGATTGGGATATGAACTTCATTGATGTAATCTATTTGATATGAAAGAAAGAGATTCAGAATTTTGATAGGCTTGTGAGGCTTGAGGTGAAAAGATTGTCTAAATGGATCTCGAATTCTACGAAGCAATTATCTGTTGTAATTAGTGTTTATTATCTGTTGCACCTGGAGCTCCAAAAGATCTTTCAGGACTTGAGACTGTAATTATATCAAGCAAATTCTTTGGGAGGATGTTGATGAGTTAGAGATTCTAGAATTTTAACTGATTCGGTTTGTATTTTTTGTTGTATTAAAGAACTTGTTAGATACTCCGTATTAGTTAAGCATGTTATTGTTATTATAGAGTTGAATGAATTGTTTATAGTTATCAATCTATCATATATTTGAATCGAGCATATGTAACTACAATAATTTGAATAAAGTGTGTAATTATAATATTTTGAATGAAGTGTTTGTAATTTCTACAGGTTTATGTGTATGGAATATAATTATAGAGAAGTAAATAATGTAGAAAGCTATTTATTTTTTTTAATTAAAAAATATACTTTCTATAACGGTTGTCTCATAACCCATATAAATTGTTTTCAATATGGGGTTCAACCAACCGATACGAAAAGTTTCAGTTTTTCTATGTCGCCTGTATCTATATGGGGTTCACAACCGACATTAAAAGTTGATTTTAACCGACATTAAATGTCAATTTTCCACTAGTGAAATTGGATGATAAAAGTGAGAAGTTTGTCTTTATTGGATACGATGCAAGAGCAAAGGGGTACAAGCTATACAACCCAAACAATGGAAGAATTGTGATTAGCCGCGATGTTGAGTTTGATGAAGAGAGCACTTGGGATTGGACTCAAAAGAAAGAAGACTACAATTTCTTGTCTTACTACAATGAAGAAGAAGAAGAGAAGCAAGAGCTAGCCCATGAAGAGCCCACGAGCCCAACTCCACCATCACCCGATCAAGAAGGATTCAGAAGTGAAGACAACTCAAATGAAAGGCCGCCTCGCTTAAGGAGCATACAAGAGCTATATGAGGTTACCGAAAATATTAATGATCTAACATTGTTTTGTCTTCTTGCCGATTGTGAACCAATAGGTTTTGAAGAAGCGGCTAACGACAAGAATTGGAGGGAAGCCATGGATGAAGAAATGAAGGCCATCATGAAAAATGATACATGGGAATTGGCCACCTTACCCAAAGGGCACAAAGCAATTAATTGGTGCAAAATGGATTTTTAAAGAAAAGAAGAATGCCATGGGGGAAGTTGAAAGATACAAAGCAAGATTGGTTGTGAAAGGCTACAACCAAAGAGCCGGCATCGACTATGAAGAGGTATTTGCTCCCGTTGCCCGTTTGGAAACTATAAGATTTTTAATTTCTTTGGCAGCTCAAAATAAATGGAAAATTTTCCAAATGGATGTGAAATCCGCATTTTTAAATGGAAAATTAGAGGAAAAAGTTTATTTGGAGCAACCACCGGAATATAAAATAAAAGGGCATGAAGACAAAGTTCTAAAATTGAAAAAACCACTTTATGGTTTGAAGCAAGATCCAAGAGCTTGGAATACTAGAATCGACAAGTATTTCCAAGTAAATAATTTTATAAAGTGTCCCCATGAACATGCTCTTTATGTCAAAAAGGAGAAAAATGGAAATATCTTGATTGTTTGCTTTTATGTTGATGATTTACTAGTCACGGGAAATAATCCCAATTTATTTGAGAATTTCAAAAAGGCAATGAATCAAGAATTTAAAATGACCGATATGGGGTTAATGTCTTATTATTTGGGAATTGAGGTAAGACAAAGTGAAAATGGAATTTTCATCGGTCAAGAAGGGTAGCGAAGAAAATTCTTGGGAAATTTAGAATGGATGTTTGTAATCCAATAAATACACCGGTGGATTGTGGGGTAAAATTATCCAAGTTTGGTGATGAGGAAAAGGTGGAACCCACAATGTTCAAGAGCTTAGTTGGGAGCTTACGATACTTGACTTGTACAAGACCGGACATTTTGTACGGGGTTGGTCTCATTAGCCGGTACATGGAAGATCCAAGAACCTCTCATTGGAAGGCCGCCAAGAGAATTCTCCGCTACATCAAAGGTACTCTTAACTTTGGCTTGTTCTACAATTCTTTCAATGATTTCAAACTTGTTGGGTATAGTGATAGTGATTGGGCCGAAGATGTTGATGATCGTAAGAGTACTACCGGATTTGTCTTTCTTATGGGTAATACGGCTTTACTTGGAGTTCAAAGAAGCAACCTATCGTGACACTCTCCACATGTGAAGCCGAGTATGTTGCCTCCAACTCTTGTATTTGTCATGCTATATGGCTCCAGAATTTATTCAAAGAAATAGGCATGACACAAAAGGAAGCTACGGAGATATTTGTGGATAATAAGTCCGCAATAGCTTTGGGAAATAATCTAGTGTTCTATGACCGAAGCAAGCACATAAATAAGCGCTATCACTACATCTGGGAGTGCGTTGAAAGAAAAGAGGTTGAAGTAAGGTACGTAAGGTCTCATGATCAAATCGCCGATATTTTTACGAAGCCGCTCAAGCATGAAGATTTCCGAAGATTGAGGACAATGCTCGGAGTTACAAAAAAACAAGTTTAAGGGGGGGGGGGGGTGTTGAAAATTAAACTTGTTTTTATTTTAATACTTTGGGCCTAATTAATATTTATTTTAGTTGTTGTTGGAAAGGCAAAGTAGTAGAAAAGTGTAGAAAGAATGAATTCTAGAGCTTCTCTAGAATACGTGGTCTCTAGAATTTTCCTATCATTAATGGTGTAGAATTATGTAGAATGTATTAATTGTAAAAGAGTCTAGATACTTTTGTACTAATATAAATAGAGCTCCACCCATCACCACTTTGTATCAATCAAGCAAATCAAGCAAATTGAGTTGTTCTAATAAAAAGAGTTCTTCCCCTTTGTTCAAATATCTCTTCCATAATATTTTAATTTTGCCTCCCAATTTCCCAAATCGTCCTTCACTTATTTCCAACAAAGATTGCTCTAGTGGAGGAATCGACGATGGAGGCTGATAACCGCTTTCGCGGCGTTGTAGTAAAACGGAGTCTAACCTTTCGGTTTTTCCCCGAGTATCGTGTCTCTCGAGGAATGGCGGAGGAGCTTCTTGATTTCAAGTCCAGTCACAGGTTATCGCAAATTATTGGAAGCTTTCCAAATTAAAACTTTTGATTGATTTTCTAAACTACTTTTTGGAAAAGAAAGTAAATTAAATTGTGCAAATACTAATGATGGCTCAAAAATAGACTAAAGGAAAAAATATAATATTAAACTTAAATGGATTGGTGCAAATAAGGGCAATGAATTGAGTAATTAGAAATGGATATATTCTTGGACCTAGTAATTAGGGAAATTAAAACTAAAATTGGACTAATAATTTCTTTCCTCATAGACAAGAATAGAAACTATTTTCATTAATTTATCCTATTTCTAGGTGTCATTAATGTGTTCAAAAATGGTTGGCTTGAATTAAATTCTAACCTCATAGACAAGGTAGAAATAATTCTCCGATATTTTAATTAATAAAAATAGCCGAATTCATTAACTAGTTAAACTCATTATTTAAGCAATTGAATTTATCTCTCATAGACAAGATGTAAATCCCTTTCATTAAATTATCCTATTTCTAGGCCTTATTAATGTGCTTGAATATGGTTGGCTTAAATTATTTTCTAATCTCATAGACAAGTTAGAAATAATTTTCCAAGAATTTAATTAATGAATATGGCTAACAATTATTAATTACTATTTCATCATTTCAAACAACTAGTCCAAATTATTAATTTTAATCCCTAATTTTCGGTCAACAAGTCAATCCATATTCCTTTAGTCAATTCATGCCCAAAACAAATTTAGCTAATAAACATCATTTTTTCATTTAACAATACAATGAATAAATTCAACATTAACAAGGAATTAAGCATGTATAATAGCAAAAATTAAACAAAAATAATATTCTTCCAAAATAAACTTGTAGAACTAAAATATCACCTTCTGGAATTTTTCCTGAATTTTATAACCTAAAATCCAATTTTAACAACTAATTGATAATTTTCCCAATATTAACTAGAAAATACAAAAAAAAGCAGCTACAAATATTCTAAATTCGTTCTAAATTTTATATTGAATACTAGGAGTGATATTACTGTGAATTTAACTGGAATTAGGACAGAAACTAATTTTTTTTCTTTTTTGAGTATTTAATTTAATTTATGCAATAATAACCACTAAATGCCGGAATTAATTAAAATTTACTTCTACTTCATAAAAATTAACTTTGTTTTGATAAATAACTACCTTGAGGCTAGTAAACAACTATATAATTAATTGGAATGGATTTAATGTCAACAACTATTTTATTCAAATTTAAGACGAAAATGCGAAATAGTTGAATAATTTTCTGGAAATTTTAGAAGCACAGATAAAAAAAACTAAGTACAGATTCAGATTCTACTCATTGAAAGGATGAAAATACATATAAAGAACTCACAATTTGGAGCTAAAATGAGAAAGATATGAAAGATTGAAGTTGAAGGTGCAACAATGGTGGAAATCCGAGCTTTGAGGAGGAAGAAGACGCCCTTTTTGATCTGATTTGGGCTTGAAATTGGTGTGTTTGAGTTGAGGAAAAATCGGGCAATTTATACGAAAAATTTCCCCGAAGGCGCCCGGGCAGGCGGCCGCCTTCCGGCAGCAACTGGCCGCCTGCCGTCAACTCGCCGGCAACGACACGTGGGCTGGTCTCCGTCAGCCGTAGGCGGCCATAGAGGGCGGCCGCCTTCCACCAAAATTGGCCGCCTTCCGTTGTCTTCACCGGCAGGTCGACGTGAGCCCGTCAACGTCAGCCGCAGGCGGTCCAGACGGCGGCCGCCTGCCGTTCCTGTCTGGCCGCCTGCCGTCAAGTCGCACCGGCCGGTGGTTGGCCTTGTCCCGTTGTGCCGCAGGCGGCCACGAAGGGCGGCCGCCTTCCTTCCTCCGTCGGCCGCTTTCTGTCTTCTACAGGTTCGGGTCAAACTGGAGCGTTGACTTTGATTTCCCGTAGGCGGCCGCGAAGGCCTCCATTTTGGGCGCCTATTTGGGCGCCTTCGGCCTTTTTTGTCTGGCAGATGCGGCTTTTCTTGCTCTTCAACTTTGTCTTCTGAATCACCTTGATAAAATGCTTGCTTCTTCCGGTATAAATGCATTTGTCACTCAAATTGACTCATTTTGTGCTCAATTGACCCGAAATCCCGCTAAACATATTATGGATGTGATTTTTACCTGATTTCATGAAACTTGAACCAAAATATATAAAATGTGTCTTTTCTTTCTATTTTCATTCAAAAATCGCTTAAATTTGATAAGAAAAATAAGTACAAAAATGGACTTATCAGAGGCCGTTAGGCCGGTGGTGGAGGTCTAAAATCTTGATGAAGAAGAAAGGAAACACGGAGGGTAATCTGGGAGAAGAAAGAAGGAGCTGGGAGAGAAAGAAAGGGAAAAAAGCAAAGGAAAGACAGAGAAAAAGCAAAAAGGGAAAAGACTACGAAAGTTTAAAAAATAAGAGAAAATTATAAAAGAAAATGTGAGATGGACATTCACGGACATCCGCGTCACCCGTCGATTGGGAACCGAATCATTATCTAGAAAATAGTTTTTTTTTGGGGGGGGGGGGGGGGGGAAACAGAATTAATTATCATTAATATAGTCAAAGTTTAAACTGTCAACAATACAATTAGGGGGGTTAAACCACCAATGACGGCTATCAGACAAAGAACAAGCCACTCTAGCTAACTCATGAGCAACTTTGTTCGCAGATCGCCTAATGTGAGAAAAACGAAGATTCAAGAACTCCGAACTCATATCTCTAATATCATCTGCTATAATACCCAGAGAAAATATGCTGGTTCCCTTGCAAATTTCTGTAATGGCCCCGACCGCATCAGATTCTACTTCCACATTCGACCAGGATTGCTCTTTTAACCAGCCCAACGCTTCACGTATGCTCAATAATTCAGCTTCCAACGGAGTAAAATTCCCAACATAGGGGATAGCGCCAGCAGCAACAAAATCCCCTTGATCATTTCTCAGGACCCAACCACTTGCACTTTTATCCTTCCTTAAAGCAGCATCTACATTTAATTTAACAAAACCCAAGTCTGGCTTCTTCCACGTGGCTTTTCTTTCTGGATTAAACACCACCCTCCCACACTGAGCCTTCAGCCATCCGTCAACAAAGCTCTTCGTCTGAGCAGCAAGCTGAGCGGGCTGCAAGCTCAAACCTTGCCAAATCCTCCTATTTCTTTCACTCCATAAGCCCCAGCAGCCCCACACCACCCTCGGCAGGTCTGGTTTCTTCTCCATCTGAAAAACGCGCTGAAGCCACTCGAGAAAAGATCCAGCCGACCCACCCACCTGCTCAAAATTGCTCCAGCCCATGGCACGCCAACTCACAGTAGCCACCGGATAGCGCACAAATAAATGGAGCAACGTTTCCTCCCCAGCTCCACACAGTCCGCACCTAACTTGGCAGTTCACTCTTCGACTCACCAGGTTAACAGTAGTTGGGAGGCAATCTACACATGCTTGCCAAAAGAACGATTTAATCTTTGGGAGGAAGTCTCCAATTCCACATCGATGTCCATTCTGACCAAGAATCCGCTTGAAATTCACCCACCAATTTCCGATAGCAGCTGCGCACTGAAAATCTTCCCCCAGCCTCCCATCTCCAAATCAGCTTATCAGGTATCATACGCTTGCTTGTTGGGATACTTTGAATCAGGGTTCTATCTCTGTTATTAAAGATGTCAAGGATGATGTCTGAATCCCATGCCTGAGTATGCACACTAAACAGGTTGCTAACTGTCGTGTTTTCCAAGCCTGCATAAGGAGTAGATGTGACCAAAGGATTTACCTCATCCGGTAACCAAGGATCGGACCAGACCTGAATTGACTTGTCGTCCCCAACCCGCCAACGATATCCATCTCAAATAACCTCCTGTGTCTCAAACAAACTCCTCCACACAAAGGATGGATTATTTCCCAACTTAGCTTTTAAAAAATTACCACCTGGATAATACTTTGCTCTGAAAACACGACCCACCAGAGAATTTAGTTCGGATAGTAATCTCCACGCTTGTTTAGCGAGCATAGCAATATTGAAATGCCGAAGTCTCCTAAACCCCATGCCCCCTGTCTTTTTTGGCTTACACAGGAAATCCCAGTCCCTCCAACGGATCCCTTTTCCAGCTTTGCCTAACCACCAGAACCCATTCATTAGCACTTCAATCTCCTTACAAAGCTCCTGCGGTAGAAGAAAAACATTCATAGTGTATGTTGGTAACGCTTGAATAACACTTTGTACACCTAGTTGATTCACTTAAAAGTATTAGGACTCAATTGATTTTTTCGCATGAGTACACAGATTTTTTCCCTTCTTTCTTTCAAAAAAGTGTCTGCCTTTTTCTAAGGCTAACTCATGTTCCAATTTCCAAACCAAGCACATGAGAAGTGTGCGTATATTATATATTAGGGGTGAACAAAAAAAACTGAAAAAATCAAAACCGACCGAAACCGACTAAAACCGATTAACCATTGGCGGTTCAGTTTACGGTTCCACCTTTGGGTTAAAAAACAGACAGAACTGAAAGCGGCCAAAAAACCCGACAAAAACATGCCAAAATCAACCGAAACTTATAAAATCGGCCGAACTGAACCGAACCAAAACCGAATCGAAACCGATTCAAGTAGTGTGGTTCGATTTACGATTTCACCTTTTCTAATACTTAAACGGATAAAACTGACACGGACAAAACCGGACTCACGAACACCCATATTATATACTACCGTCGTCCCTAAAAGTTTCGTCACTTTTCTTGGTCAATGATGACATACCTTGGACAATGATTTCGATTATTATATATGTATATTACGTGTAAATTTTATACTTTTATGAAAATATTTTGAATAAAGAACATTTTGATATAATTTTCATATTCTAAATAATTTCGTATAAAAAAATATAATTGGTCAAAGTTGATTGTCATTGATCAAGAAAAGTCAATTTGGCGAATTCTTCGTGACGGAGGAAGTATTACGTACTACATAATATATATACGGAGAATGAGAGGGAAATTTCTACAATACCTGCCTAAATAAGTGTGTTGAGTCCCGCTTCGTGTACACGCCGGTCAAATTATCTGTGTACAGACAATTTGATCGGCTACACAAACAACTTGACCGACGTTTTATGAAGAAAATCGATTTCCACACAGACAAAAAGTAAAGAGTTGTTTGTATCACAGACATTTTAGACCGGAATTTTTCATAAAGTGCCTGTGATACAGACAATTTGTTTATTTCTGTACGTGTGAAAATCAGTTTTCTCCATAAAACGCCGGTCAAATTGTCTTTGTAGCCGGTCAAATTGTTTGCACACAGACAATTTGACCGACGTGTACAAACGGAATTTTGCAAGTGTGTTTTGGTACCCAAGTTTTCTCAGCCGATCACATTGCGATGTCGCCACGTTGTTCCAGGCCAATGTTATTCTAGTATTTGCATTTCAGTTTTCCAAATTAATCACATACTTATATTACTATGTGAAAAAGTCATGGTATGAAATTAAAAAGCTTTGAGAAGTTTTGATGCAAAAGTATGAAGGGAAGAAGGATGAGAGAGAAACACGACTTGAGGCCTGCTTGGAACTTAGGGATCATACGATCACACATGAACTTCCCACATCAGACAATGAATTCGATCGGTTGAATTTTCTATTCAAAATGTGATGAGATAATCACAATTACGCCAATCCGTCTTACTTGGGCAAGGCTGATTTTTCTTTTGAAATGTTTTTTTTTAATTTACAGAATTGATGTGAATTCTCAGTAATTCACCATATTATTGTGTTGATTAATGGTCTGTTTTAGTAGACACAAAAAAATGATTAGTGATTTGATTCCGGTGATGTTGTTGTGTTTGACGTAAGGAGTGTTTGAGGTTGATTAAAAAAAGCGTTTTTCTGCTTTTGGCTTAAAAAAAGTTGAAAAGAGTGTTTTCAAATGATAGCTTCTGCTTAAATTAATCACTTAAAAGCTAAAAGCTGGAAACAGGTAGAAGGGTGCTTTAAACTGCTTCTCACTTTTTCTATTACACAAAAAGTACTTATTTTACCAAACACTATCAACTTTTATTTTTTCAGAATCACTTTTTTCTCAAACAATATCAACTTTTACTATTAATCACTTTTCCCAAAATCACTTTAAAAAATCACTTTTTTAAAGTTGAAGCAATCGCAAACACTCCCGTAGACTAAAATGTAAATGACAAAACTGGTGTATGTATACTACTCGTAAGGATGTTACGTGGCTTCACGTTATAATGTGATTGGTTGAAAATATTCGGGAAAGAAAAGAAAGAAATAAATAGGGAGTAGTCGATCGATCGATCGATCGATCTGTTGTTATATATATACTAGGGAGTAGTCGATCGATCGATCTGTTGTTATATATATATGTTACCACAGAAAGAAAGAAAGAAAAAAAAAATCATGAGGACTGTGCAGACGGTGGGGTACCGGAGAGGCGAGCGCGTGGAGGTGGCGAGCAACGCCGAAGGGTTCGTGGGGTCGTACTACGAGGCCACGGTGGTGGAGGAGCTGCCCGGCGGCAAGGGCTACATACAGGGGCGGAGCTAGGGGAGGGCCAACCCTAGCCCTGGCCCAGCCCAAATTTTAAAAATGTCTAAATATTTAGTGTAAAAAAAATCGTGTAAATTTTTTTCCAAAAATATTCTTTGTATCGGCCCAGTCCGGCCCAGTGTCCTGGCTCCGCCCCTGGCTACATAGTCCAGTACAACACTCTCGTCAAGGACGACCTTTCCGGGCCGCTGCGGGAGGCGGTCAGTGCCGCGGAGGTCAGGCCGCATCCGCCGGAGATCAAGGCGGCGGAATTCCACATGGACGAGGCGGTCGACGTTTTTGACAACGACGGGTGGTGGGTGGGGCGGATCAGCGGGAAGCTCGGCAGCCGGCGTTATTACGTGTCCTTCCATTCCCCAGGAGATATCCACACTCTAATTTACCCCAAACACAGAATAAGGGTTCATCTCCATTGGGATCGTCATGCCTGGATTTCCAATCTTCAATCCTTTTAATTTTAGGTTTACATTACAGAATTATATATATAATAATGTCGTCTGCAGTCTATGATTGATTGGAATTCGGAAGCAGATCATCATTCTATGATTCTAATATTCTTTAACTTCAGATCAAGAAATCGAATTAATTGTCTTCTCAAATACGGAGTACTCCTTTTCTCCACTTAGACTTCAACTTTAAAATAATTACGTATGTTATTAGATTTTCTAGCCGCCGTTTGCGAATGGCTTACAGGACTGTAAAACAAATCAGGAAATAATAATGTTAACATATGAACGCATCTTCATCTTTGCTTCTATTAGCAACAAACAACAATTTTAAAGTTGTTTTCATTAGTCAAAAAGCAAATAGGAGTGCCCACACTTGAGTCTATTAATTATGCTTCTTGAGGGATCTTTAATCATGTTCCGTCTTGTATTATTGATATTCTTAATGAAGATGAATAATAACAAATTATTCAAATAATGTTAGATAACAAATTATTTACAAAATTATAGTTGGGTTAAAAGTATATAACAAAGTACTACTCCTTTGAACTAGAGTTAGGGCATCTCCAATGTTATAATGTGCACGGTGCACATGTGGCATGAGAGATAGCCACAAAAATATTAGTAAATAAATTCTTTCTCTCCTTATTTTAATAATTTTATACAAATTTAGTAAATTTTTCTCCACAATGTCAAGGAGACCGTCTAAATGTTGACATTGCAGTTGACATTGCAGGGAAAAACTTACCAAAATTGTATAAAATCATTCAAATAAGTACAGAGATAATTTATTTGTTAATATTTATGTGGCTATCACTCATGCCACATGTGCATCGTACACATTTTAGCATTGGAGATGCCCTAACTGTTAGCCGCTGCCAACTCACTTGGCGACTTTCTCTTAGCCTCGGAAATCAAGGAACAAGCCTAACATAAACATAGTAAGGTAGCATGGTAGCTATCAACCAAGCTACCAATCAAATCACTTCTTATTGGGACCCAAATCTAAAAAAAAACTCTCTTTTTTAAATGAGAATAACTTTTTAATTTGTTATCGGATTTTTACAAAAAATATATCAAAATTTGCAATTTTTTATTATCTTTCATTTGACACCAATATTACTTATACAAAAAATAAACAAAAATAAATCCGATTATATGTGGGGTGATGAAGATATTTTAGGCTCAATTTTTTTACTCTAGAAAGGTTACTAGTAACCAACTTTTAGCGACGGAAATGAACAAAGTTACGTAATACTCCATATATAGTGTATGTTTGACACAATTAGTTGATTTTTTTATCTTTTTAATAACTACTCCGTATTATGGAGTAGCTTTTATTAAATGAAAATGTCTTCAAAAAGAAAAGTGATAATTGTTTCATAAAAAGCTGATTGTTTGATTTAGTTCACTTTGATATACAAGTTATGAGGACTGCTCAGGTCTAGCCGGAAGGACGGGAGCAGCCGTCCGAACTTCACTGTTTGGGGCGGTTTCCGGTGGAATTTTTCGATGAAATTTTTTAAGCATGTTCCTCATCAAGTCTAGTTTGTCCATACCAAATTTCAGCTCAAAATTCGACCGGGAAGGCAGTCAAATAAATTCTTGAAACTTACTGCACTTTATATATGCGCAGAATGTGCAGTAAGTTTCAAGAATTTATTTGACTGCCTCCCCGGTCGAATTTTGAGCTGAAATTTGGTATGGACAAACTAGACTTGATGAGAAACATGCTCAAAAAATTTCATCAAAAAATTCCATCGGGAACCGCCCCAAACAGTGAAGTTCGGACGACTGCTCCCGTCCCTCCGGAGGGACCTGAGCATTTCTGTCTGTACAAGTTGTTTTAACTAATTAACGCTAAATGTTAAAAGTTACACTCTTCTCAAACAAAAATCTTTTGTTTTAAAAATTGTTGTGTCAAATATTCAATTAGAAGCTTTAGAGACTTTTTAAATAATACATGCTACCAAATATGCACCTAGTATATGAGAAACTAACAATCAAATGACTTATTAGAACCCGAACAAAAAAAATCTCTCTTTTAAATGGCTATAACTTTTTTATTTTTTATCTGATTTTTATAAAATATATTGTAATTCATAATTTTTTATCTATCATATGATACCAGGGGTAGAGATATTTAGGCTCCATTTTTTATGTGGACCTAAGTTCTAAAATTAAGATCTTATGATTATACTACGTACACCCAATTTCATGTTGATATTAAAGGGTACTTTATCCTAAAAACATAAATAATAGAGCCTAAAAACGTCAACACCTCCTATGTTTAGATTTTATTTTAATTTACTCTATTTGTCACGTTGGATGGTTCCCATGAATAAAGACATGATTGTTTAGGCAAGTGAGTAAATAAAGTAATTTGAGTAAAAAAAAAGAATAAAGAGGAAATTTAGAAAAAAGTAAACATATAAAGTCAAAATAATTAAAAAATAAAATAAGTTAGGGAAAGGGAAATTGTGAGACTTGACATGCAATGAATAGAAAATAAAAATTTAAATAAAGATGTAATCAAAGAGAGTAAATTATTTCCTACAATGGAATGAGAACCTTAAATGAGACATCCAAATAAAAAAAGTGGGAACCTTTTGACGGGACGAATGAAATTATTTTTATATATGCAATATTGGTGTCAAATGAAAGATAATGAAAAATTATGAAATTCAATATATGTTTTTTTAAAAATCAGATAATAAATAAAAAAGTTATTACTACGTATTAAATAAAAAAGAGAGGTGTTTTTTAGTCTGGGTTCCCAATTAATTGGTTGCTTATCATTGGCTCTGTGAGTTTTGTCCGATGTTTTACGCCGCCACAAGGAAAGTCGCCAACTCAGTTGGCGACTCTAGTTAATCAGGGTTGAATTGAGCAGTATATTGGTATATATTGTTAACCTAACCCTAATTTTGTAAATAGTTTTGTATTTAGCATTAATATGGGAAAAAACTCAGATGAATTAAATCTTTGTTTAAAAAAAACACATGAACACATCTTCATGAATTTGTTTAATGGGTCTGTATTCGACAATTGAATTGTTTGAAAGCTTCTTCTCGTATGGTTGGTATGTCAATTTTTAAATGCTATTTTAAAAATTAAAGATTTTTTTGAGATTTTTTTTAAGTTGTAGCTTTTAACATTAATTACTTCCAATAACTTGTATACCAAATAAAATGAAATCAAACAGTTACCTTTCTATCAAACAATTGCTTCTTTTTCTTTTAAAATCTTTTCAGTCACTAAAAGCTAATAATCTATAAAAGTAATATTTCAGTTACTTGTGTCAAACATACCCTAAACGTATTGAATAATAATTTTTAAAAATTCATAAAAGTTTAGGGGTTTTCAATTAAGATTTTTAATAGTCATTATTAAATGATACTACCTCCGTCCCACTAAGATTGGGACGGAAGAAGGTGGCACGATTATTAAGAAAGTGAGTTTGTATGGTTGATATTAAATTGATAAAGTAAGAATAAAGTAAGAATGGTTTAGAGCCGCACAATCTTTACCAAATTTGGTATGAGACAATCTTATTGGAACTTCCCCAAAAGGTAAAATGGGACAATCTTAGCGGGACGGAGGGAGTATCTCTTCATAATACTCCGTATATGAGGCATAGGCTCTCGACTCTTTCTCTCTCTAGGGTGGGTTTCCACCGCTAGAGTTTTTTCCTCCGCCATCGTTTGTAACGAGGAGTGGCCGCCGCAGGCTGGTTTAGGCGTACAAGGTTTCTTCTTCCGCTATCTATTGTGCAGCTTTTTTCTTCTTTTGCTTGACGAGATTAAGCAGAGGGAAGATGATGATTGGTCTCTGGCTGCTGAAAGTTGTGCAGGGACGGAAGATGGAGGTTTGGTCTCAGGCGGCCAAAGGTCATGGACGAAGCGTGGGGCTAGAGGCTGCAACAGATCTGAATTCGAGGTCATCTGTGTTAGGTGGCGACAGAGGAAGCTCGATAGAGAACGTGATGAATAAGAGGCAAGATGAGGAAGAAGCTACACTACTGCTGGGTCGTCCCCTCTTGACCCGCCGCCATGGAGCGCAGGAGAGTCTAGAGTTTGGAAGCGTCTTTTTGATTTTACTGTTTGCTTGCGATTTATTTTTCATGATCAGACTGTATATTTTTTGTTGGTTATTTTTATTATTGTAAGAGTCTTGCAATAGGATTGAGTGATAGGAGGTCTGTTTTAACCGTCTTTGGCTCATGTAAGCCCATTATCGCGAGTTATATTGCTTCTCTGAAAGTGGTTGATTTGAGGACTGACAGTTGCCTGTGATCCTTATATCAAGGTAAGCCCCCTCTTCCCCCAAAAAAGTCATTATTAAATCCATCACAATCTAGAGATATTCAATTGAGGTTTTTAAACATAAGAAATTCCAAAAACATGGTACTTGTGAAAATGCGAAAATTTTGTTGAATGTAAAAGCGGTTTGTCCCTCACATATTGGCGGCGGTGCCTTCCTTCTAACAAAGGGTTCAGGCGCTTTGTCCGGTAACTGGTACAATTCAAGGCTCGTGGTTTGCTTATAGATTGACACGGGTTCGGTGTGATTGAGCTACTCCCTCCGTCCCGCTATGATTGTCCTATTTTACCATTTCGGTCCGTCCCACTAAGATTGTCTCATACCTTATTTGGTAAAGTTTGTGTGGTTCTAAATCATTCCTACTTTATTCTTACTTTATCAATTCAATATCAACCACATAAACACACTTTTATTAATAACCGTGTCATCTTCTCTTGTCCCAAACTTAGGGGGACGGAGGTAGTATTTGATTTGGAGATGTAGCGCATTTAATTTCACGACTCTCTTCAAAGCATATGGAATTGGGATTGCTGCGACGGAGACGATGCTCGTGTCATCAACACTGGCTAGGTGCAAGGGATCGACGCTATTAGAGCATCTCTAATGGGCAATGGATTGGAGTAAAGTCTATCCTACGTGGCATAGGAGAGAGATAGAGATAGGACGATTATTTTAATTTAATATGGAGAAAGTGGTGTGTATGGAAAAATGAAAAGGAAGAGAGAGATAGGAGTAAATTGTAGACAATGTCTATGACAATGTCCACAAATAGACAACACGGGAATCGAGAAGCAAAAGTGGATGAAAGTGGGTTAGAAGTGATATAAAAAAATGAAAATGAAAATAAATATAGAGATATGTAGGTCCTACACATAAAATTTGTGAGATAAAAAATGGAACCCTATTGTAAGAGTGTGTAAGAGAATAGACATCCTATGGAGATGCTCTTAGGTTTGGCAAAGCTGAGGAAGCATGGACACGGAAGCCAAAGACCGAAAAAACGGGGTTGGGCCTACACCTGCCTAGAAGCTCGAAGGCCCTCTCCTATCCTTAGGGTCTGTTTGCAACCCATTAAAAAAGTGCTTTTAACTTTTTTCTAAGAAAAAAACACTTATTTTACCAAACACTACCAACTTTTACTTTCTCGGCTTCCGTGTAGAATCTACTTTTTACTTTTTCTATTACACAAAAGCACTTATTTTACCAAACACTACCAACTTTTACTACTAATCACTTTTTCCCCAAAAATACTTTTATTTAAGCAGAAGTGGTTGCAAACAAAGCCTTATTTTTTATTGTGGAAATTACCGGTATGGTTACCCACATATCATTTATGCCTCCGTCTTTTTTTTCCTTTCATTTTTAAACTTTTATGTTTTCAATTACTCCCTCCGGTTTTATTTAATCTTCACACTTTGACTTCACACAAAATAAGGAAATAAATTTGACCTTACTGTAGAGTACACTGTTGAGGCATTGTTTGACACTGTTTGGCACTGTGGTGACATTGTTGGGCACTGTTGAGACACTGTTTGACACTGTTTGACACTGTTTTGATGTAGATTTCTTTGCCAAAAAAGGAAATTAGGAAGTGTGAAGTTTATTTTAAACCGTCCCAAAAAGGAAAGTGTGAAGTTTATTAAAAAAGGAGGGAGTATATTTTTCTATTTCAATTTTAGACTGGCCGACCTCTATCTAAATAGATAAAATAAGATAACAGAGAGAAGCAAGGTGGATTCTCGTCGTTAGAAAGCTTCCGGAGCGCGAGCGAATGACGACTTCCAACGATTCCACGGTCGAAATCGGGGCATCGCCGATGGAGTTATGCTCGGATTCGTTGTCCCAACGTCTTCAGACAGCTAGGTTATCAATATGATGGTCTTCCAAGTTATTCCGATGCAGATGAGAGAGCGGATATTCCTCCTGCTTTCAGGCGAGAGCTTCTCGAGGAAGAGCAGAGTGGACAAGGATTCCATTAATAACTAGCTAACTATTCCTGCTTGTTGAATCGCAGCCTGACTGCCTGCTAGATTGTGATTTGCACGTATGTGTTTTAGATTTTTTACAGTTTATTTTCACTTTAATGTTTGTTATAATTCATATAGTTAGGTTTATTTCTGGTTTCTAATTAATTAGAATATAGATAGACAAACCGATAGGGTTAGTGCTAGTCCCTCCGGGGAAGCCTACATGGTGAAATTAGTTTTTGGAGCCTACATTGGTTCAGGGATGCTCTGAAAGCTTCCCTACTTTAGCCCTATTGGTTTCTGAAATATATATACTTTGCCCTATGATATGATAGAGTACATTCAAAGTGTAATGGTTTACGGCACTATCAGTTACCCTTGAATTTACTTGGTAAAAGCTCTAACATATCTTAGAGCTATCATACCTGCGTTAGCCCTATTGGTTTCAGGTATGATTCAAGGAAGCTCTGAAAGCTTTGGTCACTAAATTAATTTCAGGGGAGCTATGAAATAGATACTTTGTGTGCCCTAACTTGGTTTCTAATTCATCTGCTCATTTGACTGCATATGTGATGAAATTCAGGGAAGCTCTTAAGCTGTTGTCATTGTTTCTGAAATGGAATGAATAGATAAGATGTGACATTATTCACACTACCACCAGGTTGCAGTTTTCTACCTTTCTGAGGAACAGATCATCTGCTACTACCTCTCTGAGAAGAATGATGACGATCATCGCAATGGCATTAACGTAATCAATGAGATCAGCCTGTACAATTTTGATCCTTTCAATTTACCGGACGTTTCCTGCTATTGGTTGAGCCCCGGTGGGAGGCAACAACACTGGCTTTGCTTTGTCGCTAGGAAATTAAATAATAGGAGATCCAGGAGGGCAGGAGGCGGGTATTGGAGAAGGAAAGGGAGGTTTACTGTTGTCTACGAGAGGGGTGCTGGGAAAGTTTTGGTTGGAATGCATAAACGTTTCACTTTTTATTTGGTGGAATCTCCTTAGAATGCAATGAGGACTAACTGGTTTATTTATGAGTACGCACTGCCTAATGGGGCTGCTTTCGTCTTGTGTCGAACTTTCATTGAATACCCTCATGAAAATATTGGGTCAGAAAATGTGTAAAGTTCATGTTCTGAAGAAAGTGCTATCTGAAACAGTGATACAATTCCAGTTATACATTCTGTTAGTCCGTTATGTACCTCATACAGTTAGGTCTGTGTTTATAAGATATATTGGTGATTGAAAGCCTGGAGATAGGAAATGTTGTTTGTCCTTTGGTGACAATTATGCCTTGGCACATCCTCTGGCTTACTAGGTACTTCCTGTATTTAATCTGGATCAGTGATGATTCAAAAGAGACAAAACAAAAGAATCAGGAAAGCTCCTCTACTCCTAGTAATGAGTATATGCGTCTTCAAAATAGCAAACTTGAGACTTTTAGCTCTGGAAACCGATCTACTTGATCTTGATTCAATGGATTTAGCTAGGATGTGCTGGAAAAAAAGTTGTTTGAGAGATTTATAGTTCATGTATTCTGTAACTCTGCTTATTTATACTGATTGCCAGGTGGTACAACAGATGTTATAGATAAATGTAATAAATTGTAATAAGAGATTGGATTACATATGTTGTGATATATGTAATCGTGTTGCTTTTTGTTGCATTGTGTTGCTTTTTAATATACATATTTTGTAATTGGATTTCTAATATACATATTTTGTTGCTCTTTGTTGCATTGCATGTGTTGTTTTTTGTTGCATCGTGTTGCTTTTTGTTGCATTGTGTTGCTTTTTGTTGCATTGTGTTGCTTATTAAATTTTATTTTACTATTGTTTTTCATTTTTTGTCAATGTATAATAAAAAATGGGAAAATGGAAACTAATAATCCAACCTTTTAGCGGTCTTCTTACAATAATCCAACCTTTTTGTTATTCATGAATAATCCAACCTTTGCACCTCATCTTCCTTCACTGGTCCCTGACCGGTTGATGACCTGCTATTCCAAGCTATTTTCTTATCTTTTCAAATCATTATACCATAAATCTCATCTTTCACAAAGATAATATTTTGCAAAGATAAGAAAATAACTTGGAATAGTAGGTCATTAACCGACCAGGGACCAATGAATGAAGATGAGGTGCAAAGGTTGGATTATTCATGAATAATCAAAAGGTGGGATTATTGAAAGAAGGCCGCTAAAAGGTTGGATTATTATTAGTTTCCATTTTCCCATAAAAAATCATGTGTGTGTGTAAGCACCTAAACCAATAAAGAACAAAAAGAAACAATAAAGAAATCAAAGTTATCAAAATATCAACAAAAGGAAACACAAAGAAACAATATGCAACAATTAAATGATAACAATAATAACTAAAATGTAGGAATTCTTAATTGCGTAGTACAAGTTTTTCAATTTATATTTTTTCATTTTTCGTTATTTTATTTTTCCAATTTTTAATTTTAATTTTCAATGTTTACACTTTTTAGCTTACTGTTTTTTATTATAAGAAACTTATTTAATTTTTTTTTTTTTTAAATTTCATATATTTATTTTCTTAGAATGTTTTCAGATCACAAAATTGTGAATTTGTCAACAAATATAAACATAATAAAACAACAGGCAACAACAATTTATTTTCTTTGATAATAATTAATTTTGTAATAAAAAATATCACCGATTCAAAAACTCCATATTCTTTAATATATTTAGTTTATTTCAATTTTTAATATATATATATATATATATATATATTATTTTGTTTATAACTTTTCACATTTTTTATTTTCAAGTTTTTTTTAAAATATTTTTCTAAACAAATTTGTAGTTCTGAAAGATGTAAATATTTTTTTAACTTTACATTCTAGAATTTTTCTTGTTTATTAGAAAAATTTAATATTTTAAAAATCTGTAGTTATTTTTTGATTTTTTTAATACTTTCAAAAAAGTTAGTTTAAATTTTTTATAATACGTTTAGAGATTTTAGATTTAAAAATA